GTACTTAATCACTAACAGTTCTCATCAAGTTTCGTTCTTTATACTTGATTAAAAAGGAAGGGGCAGCGTGGTGGCGCAACTGGTAGAGCTGCTGCCTCTCAGCGAGCAGGTCCTTGGTTCAAACCCCGGTCCAGGGGCCTTTCTGGGTGGAGTTTGCATGTTCTCTCCGTGCATGTGTGGGTTTTCTCCGGGTACTCCGGTTTCCTCCCACAGACCAAAAACATGCATGTTAGGCTGATTGGTAACTCTAAATTGTCCCTAGGTGTGAGTGAGAGAGTGAATGGTTGTTTGTCTCGTTTGTCTCTATGTGGCCCTGTGATGGACTTGCGACCTGTCCAGGGTGTACCCCGCCCCTCGCACAATGATTGCTGGACATGGGCACCAGCGACCCCCGTGACCAAAATGGAATAAGCGGGTAAAGAAAATGGATGGATGGATGGATAAAAAGGAAGGTTTTGCGGTGTGTAATTGACTCAGGGAGCTTAGCAGAAGTATAGACTGAGGGGGTCAAGGAGCACATGTGCAAAAAAAATTGAGGGAGTCCATTCAGAGGTACTAGACCACCTTCACATGCTGGTGGGTATTGTCACCAAGAGGAATACCTGACCTCATTAATCACTTCCTCTCTCCCATGAGGTCATGAGGTTTTGAGGGACTATACCAACATCACTGCACTTAACCACAAGACGAGAGAAGAGATAAGCCACCCCATTATTGCCATACCTAGTCTTCCCAACTCTACTCTGTCTTGTGGGCCTCTATACAGCCATGTGGCAGCTGAGGTAATGGTTGGAGGTCACAGGGAAACCAAATTTAAAATAATCTACCGAGACAAAAGCGACAGACGACACAACTTTGTAGTTAGCTCCCTGAGTTTTATTAAATCAAAAGGTAACGTCATGCATTTCAACACTTTGGTGTTCCAAATTTGTAATTTGTGTTTCCATTATGGCCCTCCCTCAAGACAATGCACAAGTAACTGGTAGCATGTGTGTCTATGGCTAATTACTTCTGGTGACACTATAAGTAAAATATAACAAGGGAAGCAGGGTCTGCTGGTGAGATCACCACATAGATGAAGTGGCCTCTAGGGATGCCAAGACTTCAAGAAGCTCCTGACCTCGGCCTAGCTCACTGATGACTAGCATGTGTGACTAGCTCATGGTATGAGACAGCTGCTAGAGACACTAGTGCAAGCTGAATGGAGAATTTGTTGGAAGTGTAGATGATTGACAGCTTCAGCTTTACCACTCCCAATGCCCTCCTTTATATCTGAATCAAAAAGCAACATCAGAAAACTACTGTTTCTTAGATTATTGAAGCATATGGATATATACTTGACTTAAGTGACTGGCCATACTTCATTTTAATGCAAGATGATTATTTCTCAAATTTACTATATTGTACCTGGGTAAAAAGAGCAAACTGAATTCTGACTTGCCTCATTTTTAAAATATGTGTCTTTAAATATGGACAGTAAACATTGTATCTTCATGTCAGACAGCAGACAGTTTTTATCATCCAGACAATTTTTTTCTCAACCTAGAGGCATTACGTGTCTATGGTTTTGTAGTGCTAATTTCCTAAGACCATCAGTGACAGCTCCCCAGTCGTTACGCTTCGTTGCAACCCCATCCCTGCTTGCCCTCTCAAAGATAATTATAAACCCATTAATCAGATTGTGTCATAGGCTACATGTGGTCTGCATTTTCTTGTATGAGTCAGTCTCTTAGATAAACAACTGGGGGGTGTGGGGTTATTCCATTTTTACCAGTGTTTTTACTCGATGGGAAGCCCAGAGAAAATTGGTCTAAAGTAATGTGCTAGTGTATGCTGGAGTAATTGACCAATTTGTGGGAGTGAGCCCTGGCTCTTGAGTAACTGATCTCCCACAGCAGAAGTCACCAGTGGTCTGGTAGCCACCTCTGTGGATCAGTGGAGGTCCCAGCTGACCGGTTATTCTCCTCCATTTTCAGGTGTGATAAACCACATAGATTTTGTAGTTTCTTTATGGCATTTTGGTTGGGAGAGATTTTTAAGTCTACACAACCATCCAATCCTATTGCTAACTTATATATGACAAATATACGACAAACTTTGCGCTGAAGACAGAAAGTGTTACCTCTGATATTTTACGACTCAGTTTTACCCAAAACCACTTCGTTATCGAAATCTTTTTTTTTTTAGATATTCCTAAGTACGATCTGTCTTTTAAAACATTACACAACTTGAAGGGAAAAAAAAAAAATATGTATTCAAATTTTGGAGTCATTGCAACAAAGTAACTTTTTCTAACTATGATTCTCTAAAACATTGTCAGAATCTAAGATTTGCATTTGCCTCATACCTCTAACGGCCACTTATAAGTTTTTTTTACAGTTCAACTGACCTCCTGAATGATTGTATTTTTTAAACTGTGCATAGCCATGAAGTTTTTCTACACTTTTTGTTAAGATTTGATATTTTTATTAGTTTAGCAGTAGCAGATGAAGGTTTTATAGAGGAAGTGGTAGTTGTTTGAAGTTGCAGCTCTGATACAGGAGTCACTTTCATCACAGTGGGACACAGTTTCTGAGCCTTAATGAAAATCGTAATGCATGTTCATAATGGGCCAAAGGCAAAGGTGCTGGACCATGATGCTTGTTGCACTTCATTAAGTATGCTTTTTTAAAAATTATTATTAACTGTTATATTTGGGGTTTATGTGTGTAGAATGACTGACTAAGCTAATTTTGTATGGCATTTTGAGACTTTGGCAACATGTATAGATATTATTTACCTCCAAATGTGGCTCTAACTCTGTCAGTTTTACAGATTTTGAGCTATAATTTTGTGTGTGTAGCTAAGAGTGATGCAACAATATCTGTCCTTTGGTAAAATACTTCACATACTACTGAACTGATATAATTGAAACTGTAAACATTCATTGGACGTGCATCTACCATACTAGTCACTTCAAGATGAAAGATAAATGACTTGACCCAACACAAAATAGCTAACAGTAAAAGTATCAGATGTGAAGTTATCATTTATGGTGAAAGTCATCCTTTACACATATTCTGAGCTTTGACACATCTTGTAAGATCTCACAATTTAGCATGAGACAGTGTGTAACAATATTTTCAAGATTTGACCAGAATTATTTAAATTCTGTCTCTTCTTAACATAGGATTATGTTAATTTAAACATCTAGCATAAAAAATGGTGTTTTAATCAAATTATTTTTATTGATTTTTGATTATTTTGAACATACAAACACAAAGGAGAACACAAAGTACAAAAAAAAAAAATAATTAAAAAAAAACTCCCACACCAGATAAATCACAGACACATAAATAAACTAAACAGGTATTGACAAGTTTTCTACATACAACATAAAAGGCTGACAAGTGTCCCAAAATCTTTTAACAGAACCCTTCAGGTATATCTGATTTTTTTTCCAAATGAATATGATACATCACCTCTCTTATCCAGTGAACATATGCTGGGGTGTGTGGATCCTTTCAGCTGCACAAAACCAGTCTTCTGGCCAGGAGAGAACCAAAATCAATCACATCCTCCTCGCACTTGCTGAAGGACGTCTCCACAGGGACCACCCTGAACAGTGAGATGAGTGGTGATGGGTGTACAGTTTTGTCACATATTTCAGAGAAGGTGTCAAAAATAGATTTCCAAAAGGTCTGCAGTTTGGGACAGGTCCAGAATGAATGCAGAAGTGTAGCTGGAGTTGCTTTACACTGATTACATGCGGGGTCCAGGTCGGCTTTGATCTAGGACAGCTTGTCGTTGGACCAGTGCAGCTGGTGCACCAACTTTAATTGAATTACATCATGTCTCAGACAGACTGAAGTAAAGTAAATGTTCTTAATGATATCCTGATGCATGCTCAATAATCCAGGTGGTAAAACCTAAAAAAGGTAAATCTGGTCCTCTGTTCTTAATGATCTTTCTCCAGATTGAGTCTGATATGGATTCCTTCAGGTCCGTTTCCCATTTTGGGAGTCCAAACTGGTCTCATGGTATGAGCAATGTATAGATCTTGCTGAGGGTCCTCTTGGTATCAAATCTGCATTCCAAAATCTCAGCCATAAAATACTTAGAGGGGTACAAAGAAAAACAATCAGAATTAGACCTGACAAAATGTCTCAGCTGCAGATATGTAAAAAACTGTGACTTGTGGATATTAGACTTCTGTACCAGCTGCTCAAAAGAGGCAAAACTACCAGCAACATAGAGGTCACACAGTGAATGTACTCCCCTCCCAAGATCCAGGTGTCAAAAGCTGTATCAGCTACTGAGGGCGTAAGCACTGAAAAACTGGGACTTGTGGATATTAAACTTCTGTACCAGCTGCTCAAGAGGCAAGTTTATTGTCAATATAGAGGTCACACAGTGAATGCACTCCCTTCAGGTCCCATGCATCAAAAGCTGCATCAGCTACTGAGGGAGTAAACGTGATTATTTGACACAGGTGCCAAAAACAGTAACTCTGTACAGTTAAATCCCCTCCTGAACTAATTCCAAATCTTAACCACCCAGATCACAATTGAGTAAAAAAAATTTCCCACTTTCCCAGTTACCATTTTCTTCTGTGAACACAACCTGTAAACACGCAGAAGTGTTTCCCAGTATAACATTTAATTTGATAATTTGCTTTTTTTTTTTTTTTTTGAGCTTATCTATGGCTTTATCAGGCGGTGAGTCAGTTTTAGAAGTTTCAGTTTGACTTCATCACTCCAGAGACTTCTACTTTCACATATATTCAGATTCACAAAAGTGAATTAAATTTGTTTGTAAGGGATGAAAACTAAGTTAAACGACAAATACTATTGAAATAAATAAAAAAAACAACCAGACTATTTGCACAGCCCTTTAACGCATTTGAGTATCACTAGCTGATTCTTATTTAATCTCTATTTCCTAAATGAGAGGCTGCCTTGGCTGAGGGTCTTAAAACCTTGATGTTGCCTCTCACCTGGGTTTCTTTGTTCTCCTGCTAGCTTTATGGTTACATGGAAAGCGAGCCACTCACCCTGCAGCTGTTCATTGGGACCGCAGACGATCGCCTCCTGCGACCACATGCCTTCTACCAGGTCCACCGTATCACAGGCAAAACCGTCTCCACCGCCAGCCATGAAGTCATGCAGTCCAACACCAAAATCCTGGAGATCCCTCTGCTGCCTGAAAACAACATGAGGGCTATGTGAGTGCTCTGATCCTCCACGTGTTGACTTTTTATCTGTTTTTGTTTCTTTTTCAGAAGTTTTCAAGTGTACACAAATGATATTTTTATATTTTGTAGCAGGCTTGTGACAGGATATTTGATGAAATGCAACATACATTTGACCTTTCACCCTTACAAACTTCAGAGTTTGAGGGAATTTGTTTTGTTGTGTTCATACAGTTCATGGGTCATAATGACTGATTAGATGGCATGACTTTACAGACGCAACATATTGGTCCACCAGTATAATGTTATTGTCACATTCAGACTGACCAAAATACCAGCGAGACAAACAACGATTATGAGCAACTGCTAAAAATTAATAACAATTTATATTTTTATTGTAGCCTCTGACATTTTCTGAGTTTTTCCTTTCCACTGTTGCCACTGTGCTTGCTCAGGATGGGAGACTGCAATGAAGCCAAGATTCATCTTGTCTGCTGGATTCCTTAGATAGAGAACTTTACTAATTGGCTTTTATGTGTGTGAATGTTCCTGTAAAGTGCCCTGAGACAACTTTGTTGTGATTTGGCGCTATATAAATAAACTGAATAGAATTGAATAGATATAAATGGACTGTACTTACAGCAATTTTCTATCTTATCAAAACACTCAACGCTCTTTACAATACAATCTGTGCTCTCATTTAACCATTCATACAGCACTCTACTATAACTTTACAAAGACTAATCAGAGCTTTAGATCACATTCATACACTGATGGGACACACATCAGAGGCAATAAGGCGTTCAGTGTCTTGCCCAGGGACACTTCGGCATGTGACTGCTGGTGGAATCAAACCTCCAACTCTAACCACTCAGCCACAGCTGCCCCAATGTAAAAAAATTGAAAATGAAAACTCCAAAAAGATTCAGCAGTAGCTTGAAAATACAGTTTGTGTCTTTTTTTTAACCAAAGTTATTTAAATCTAAAACAGTTCTTGTAAAAATATTACTGGTATAGCTATGTCTTAACATAAAGAAATGGATCTGTAGAGGGGTTAATAACTATTAATAAACATTTATCACCAGTCGTAGCTTGCTTTTTGAATTATTTCAATTTGAAAAGATTCAAATTCAAGTCAGATTGATGGGATTATGGCTAGTCAGAGTGGAACTGAGACCAAACTGGATTTATTCTGTCTTAAAACAGCTTAAATCTCCAGACTGTATTATCAGTTTAAATGAATACTAGTTTAAATATCACAATGCATCAGCCATTTTCACAGTTTGGTTACTTCTGCAACAATATTTTGATTTTCCTGATGGAAGCTCCCAGTTTGTACTGGATGTGCTACAGCTAGCAGCTGCTGCTGCCACTATTTGAGTCTCCAAATAACCAAATAATTCAACAGAGATAATTGTTTACTATGAAACTGGTGGTGACGTAAAGGATTGTAAATAGCATTCATATGAGCTGCTATGAAAAGTTTGAGATTATAGTTTGAAAATGGCTGCAATCCACTTTAGTCTAAACCAGTAATATATCATCAGTCCTTTTGGATATAAACTTTATTTCTCCAAACTGGGACCATTCAAAAATCTTTCTACCATATGTAATATAATTGTTAGTAACCTTTTCACAGAATCCCATTTAGAAAGATGTGTGCTATTGCTTTAAGAACCCTGAGTTAGTTTATTAAAGAACACTTGAACCCTTAGAAAGCCTAAAAAAGTGTGGAAAGTAAAACAAACTCTTATTGTGAAGTCATCCTGTTTTAGATAATTCAACTGAACCAGTGAGCACATTTGTTTGAATCTCCGGGTTGAATAGTAGGTGCTTAGAATAAAACAAAAAATAATATGTTAACTCTAATTTATTTGTGTTTCATCATTAAAATGTGTTGAACTCATTAATTTCTTAGCCTGAGGCAGCGAGCTTGTCCTCCTCAGCCTCTCTCCAGACTGGTAGTGATCTGAGGGGCTGAACTCGTAGTCTCTGTCCTGGGGTTTCTTTCAGACCAAGTTCTTGGACTTGGGCCCAGAACTCTATGTTAGTCTCCGAGCATTACATAAGGTCATACAATACTTTACGCTTTTATTTAATACTTTGACATTTTAGTTTTGTTCCAATGAGTTTACAGAGATATTTAAATGATACATAAACAGCCCCGAGTGTATGAATGGTTTTATCGTTTATCTTGCTCTACCGTCACATTCCCAACACAACCACAACGTTCTTTTTATTGTGTCGTATTCATTCACGGGGACTGCTTACATTTCTGAAGCAGAGTGTCTTCTAAGGTTTTCTTTTTAAACCTCTCCCGAAAAGGAAGTGTTTTTTTTCCTCATCTTTGTCGTTAGTGCTGATTTAAAGCAGAGGAGTGAAGGTTCCCTTCTTATTTCCTTTGATGATCTTAACAGACAAAGATGAAAACAAAATCTTAACTGTCTCTCCAGTGAGATATAAAACAGCCACCTTGATAAGAGGTCTCATTTACTTTCTGTGTGAGATGAAGAAAATCAAAACTGCACTCACTTTTTTTCCTTCTCTTATTTTTAAATTAAACTCATCTTATACAAATAATTTAACTGAACCCAAACTACCTCATAAAATCCATACAGTAATTTAACCCTTCTGGGAGAATGTCCTTCGGAGAGATGAAACAAAGCTGGAGGGTTTTTTTATGGCGACAAGTCCTATCAGTTCTGTTTATGGAGTCAAAAATGATACAAAGAAAAGAACCCTGTACCTACAGTGCATCATGGAGGAAGCTTGGTTCTCTTCTGGGGCTGCTTTGCTTCATCTGGCACAGGGTGTCCTGAATCTGTGCATGGTGCAATTACATTTCAATTCAATTCAATTCAGTTTATTGATTCAGTGCCAGTAACAACGGAAGTTGCAGGGCACTGAGACTACCAAGACTATCTCAAGAATACCAAGGCATTCTTAAGGGACATGTGCTGCCCAGTGTCAAAAGGTTTGGTTAAGGTGCTGGACATGGTTTGTCTGACAGGATAATGACCTAAAGCTCACAGTGAAAAACACCCAAGAATGGTTAAAAAAAACAAATATTGGACTATTCTGAAGTGGCATTCCTGATTCAATTCAATTCATTTTATTTATACAGCGCCAAGTCACGACAGAAGTCGTCGCAGGGCACTGAACAGAAACATTCATACATAAAAATAATAATTTAACATTATTTATCTGAGGAGCAGACTGCTTTGAGTTTAACTTCATCTTGAGCAAACATGAAGGCGACAGTGGAAAGAAAAAACTCCCTCATGAGGAAGAAACCTCCAGCAGAACCAGCTCAGGACAAGTGGCCATCTGCTTTGACCGGCTGGGTTTGGTAGGAACAGGAAGGAGGAATAGATACACAATGGCAGGTCAAGAATCACGTGTTAAGACAGAAATAGTATCAAATGAAAACTATTCAGTTTTAACAATTCATTTAAGGAAATGAGGTCAGTTTGTCCTCTAGTAGTCTAAACTTAAAGCAGCATAACAAGCCGACCCTAACTATAGGATTTATCAAAAAGGAAAGTCTTGATCCTAGTTTTAAAACTGGACAATGTGTCAGCCTCATGGACAGAAACTGGAAGTTGATTTCACAAGAGAGGAGCCTGATAACTGAAAGATCTTCCTCCCATTCTGCTTTTGGAAACGCTAGGAACCGCGAGTAAGCCTGCAGTCTGAGAGCAAAGTGCTCTGTTAGGAAAATATGGAATAATAAGATCTCAAATATAAGATGGAGCTAGGTTGTTGAGAGCTTTGTAGGTTAGAAGTAAGATTTAGAATTCAATTCTGGATTTGACAGGGAGCCAATGGAGAGAAGCTAAAACTGGAGAAATATGATCTCTCCCATTAACTCCAGTTAAGACTCTGGCAGCAGCATTTTGGATCAACTGAAGATTTTTTAAAGACGTATTTGAACACCCAGATAATAAACCATTGCAATAGTCCAGTCTAGACGTGAAAAATGCATGGACCAGTTTTTCTGCATCATTTTTAGATGAGATGTTTCTAATCTTTTTGATATTACTCAGGTGGAAGAAGACAGTTCTAGTAACGTTTTTAATGTGGGGGATAAAAGACATGTCCTGATCAAAAATAACACCAAGATTTTTAACATTAGAGCTGGAGGACAGATTAATGCCATCTTAGGAGGGTGAAAAACTGAAAAATGTGTTCCTAAGATGCTCTCAATCTTGTTGTGGATGTGTGGAAGGAGCTGAAACAGCAAGTCTGGAGAAACAATACTTTAAACCAAAGACAGCTGGAGCCAAGTGCATAGGTGCAGAATTCTCAGAGAGAGTAAGATAAATCACTTTTTTCTTTCGGCTGCTCCCTTCTTCAGGGGTCGCCTCAGCGAACTAACTCGCACACAGACCTGGGGAGTGTTTTTACACCAAATGCCCTTCATGACGCAACCACAGACCACCGAGCTACCACAGCCCTCTGTGTGGAGCAGAGATCCATCTAGGGTGCCCGGGGGAGCAGATGGTGGGGGGTAAGGGTCTTGCTCAGAGTGGAGCAAATGAGGGTGGAGGCAGGTGTGGGTGTTTCACCTTTCCCACCTACGTTTTGATGTTGTCAGTACAGGGAGTTGAATCGGCGTCCTTCCGATCACAGGCCCACCTTCTCTAACCTCTGTGCCACCGCTCCCCCTAGTAAGAGAAATCACTTGATCGCATCAAACAGTTAAGCAACCACATACATGTATTATGTGAAGGGTTCCCTCCTTTTTGCCGTCCTCCATGTTTAGTCATTGTTCTAAAATATCAAAGTTAAGAAATGAATAAAGAAAAAACATTGATATATTCCAGGACAAGTGCCCAAAACTTTACCATGTAAAATGACTTAAATGCCAAACCAAATCCCATTTGTTTTCACTCACTTTTATCAGCCACACTAGTTTTATTTAAATTCGTGAAGGACCGTGCATGCACGTTTTTCCCCCTTTTCTACCAAATAGAAGGAAAGAAACTTTAGCCGTATACCTCCCAAATTGTAAAATGAAATAAATAAAGAAAGACAGCTTAGGGAAGGCTACACGTGGCAATGATTAACAGCAGTTTAAACCCAAAATGCATTTAGTGAATGGTCTGAAAGGACAAAGAAGGGTTCATATTGTCTTACAAAAAAGGGGTTTTAATTGGACGTTCTGTTGGGGGGGCGAGGGGCTTGTTAGGTAGGTTGTGTTGTTTATAAATTTGGGTCATTTTATAACACAATAAACAGTGTTTTTGTTTATTTTCCTAATCCTAGAATTGATTGTGCTGGAATCCTGAAGCTGCGCAATTCAGACATTGAGCTACGTAAAGGAGAAACAGACATTGGACGGAAAAACACTCGTGTGAGGTTGGTGTTTCGCATCCACATCAACCAGCCCAACGACAGGACGGTGTCGCTACAGGTTGCTTCAAACCCCATTGAATGCTGTAAGTGTGAGACATTAACAAACACAAAATCCATCTTTTTTTTCTTGGCTTTCAACTTGAACTTAAAAATGAAACCTATTGTTGTAATCTAATAAAACAAGCTACCACTTTATTACCTGCTGGACTAAATTCAATACTTCTGGAGAAAATAAAGTTTACATAATAAAAGTGGTTAGACTTGGCAATAGATGGACTATATATGATGTTAAACATGTGTTGTCTTTCTTGAATTCAAAATTTAAGACTGAAGGCACAAGTTATTGTGGTAAAAGCTCATTTTTAGCACGGATTCCACAAACGGCCTTTTGCCAGCCCTGGTTGTTGGCATGTCTGAATGGGTTCATTGAAAGAAACTCCTGATTCTTTATTCTTTTACTTTTGTGCAAAAGTGTGATGCTATATGCACCCAAGGAAATTATAATGAAAGCAAGACGAAGCTGGCGTTATAGTCTTAGTTTGGAAGTCAAAGTTAACCAGAGCTGGTTCATCAAAACTATTTTTTATCCTGTTAAAAATCTCATAAATGTACATTGTTGGATGGAATCACTAACTGTGTGATAAGTATTCATTGTAAATGTCTGGCTCTAAGTCCTGATACCATTTTCAATGGTCAAAGGTGACCAGGTTGCCTCAGTTCAACAAAAGCAGAGACAGGTGGTTGGCTGCAGGCTGCATGATGGAAACAATGACCAAAGATCTGACCATGAACTTGTTTTTTTTCAGTCTTATTTCTTGTTTAATGTCATTTTTAAAGCAGCTGTTGGCTGAGAGGCTTATAACTAGGAGTCATGAAATCATCATAATAAATTTGATAAGCCTGCTTTCATAATCAAAAGCTGCTGTTTCACTGATTGTGTCATGGCCACGTTCTTTTTGAAGCAGATTGTGATCAGCGAGCGTGTTCATGTGAATTTGCACTCGGCGTTGAAAGGTGCGTATGTTTATGTGTGTGCGTGTCTCTGTCTGTAGCTCAGCGCTCAGCTCAAGAGCTTCCCTTGGTGGAGAAGCAGAGCGTGAACAGTTACCCTGCCACTGGAGGCAAAATGATGCTTCTCACTGGCCTCAACTTCCTCCCTGAGTCCAAGGTGGTGTTCGTGGAAAAGGCTCAAGGTAAAGTGCAGTGAAACCTTATCAGAATGTGTTCACAGCGTTTTCACGTCTCCACATCTTTTTCTTCCTCACTTGTGCTTTCTTAGAATTTCTTCCTGTCAAAATAGAGCAAGACCTGCCAGCAAGCCACATGTGGTGCGCATTAGACCACTATATTTTTTAACCAAAGCGTATTTACATTTGCTGAAGTTTCCATTGCCTGTTCTTTGGTGCTTGCCACAAGTAAAGGAATGAATCACAACCATCATATGTGCAATATCTCTTTTTCTCACTTTCCTTCACTCCCTGGCTGTCCCGTCTTCCCTTACTGGCCTGTTTGGATAGCTAACCTTCTCAATCATCGACTTTTGGTAGTCCTCTCTTCTATGAAAATTACCTTGGTTACTGTGACAGCCAATATTTAGAGCTCCTATTCATTTTATTTGTCTGTGTGCTTTCTCCCTGTGTGGGTGTCAGAAAGACACACATCAAGTTTGCACAATGACTGATAATAATGATAATTTATTTAACTGCAACCACAGAAATCTAGATAAAAAAGGTTGAGGGGTATTCTTTCACTGCATTGTAACATGTAATTTGACAAGCTGTTTGTTGTGTTTATTTTTGACAAAATTACTAATCGAATGCAACTTAAATAGGTCTTCGTGCTATTCCTCCTTCAGTATGAAGGCAATTATGCTGCTACGCTCAGTACTTACAAAATAGGTTTACCATGTTTTTTTACTCATCCTCAAGTCACTCTCCTGCACCTACCCCACACTCTATACGTCACTCTACAGTATATGTTGCCAAGACAATGGCACCTAGGCCCTGCACTGGCATGAATCCATCGGACTGCATCACGATGTAGCTGTACACTAGAAGCTCACGCCTCACTAGCATGATGCTACCACCATGTGTGGTCATGATTCTAGCCTAGGCAATATGCCACCATGTGTAATCCTACTTAAAATTCTCCATGTAGAAGCCAAGCCAGGAAGTTTTGTGCTCACTCAAAACCTTCATGGTGTATCTGGTAGAAAGGGAAGCCCAATTAGTTCTTGATATGCCACTTAAGACCACTTAAATCCTGCACAACCTTGCTGGCTAATATCGTTTTTTTTCACGTCATCATGAGGTTCTCTGTGAAGGGGACCTTAGACATTAAAATATAAAACATCAAAACCACGCCATATGATGGATAAAATTGTTCAGAGTTGTGGGAAACCATTCTTTGAAATCTGTATGGACCTTTTGGAAGCACAGCCCTCCACAAAAACCAAAACGAAGGTTCAGTCTTGCTTGAAAGAAACAATCATTAAAGCAACAATTGTGCAATCTTTGCACCATTTCTCCACCAAGTAACATAACTTTGCATTTGCAAAAGTGAATAACTTTAGTCAGAAACAAATAAACAACAACTTTGAGATTGCTGCTCCAAATCAGCATTTTTAAAAAGATTTATCTAAACAAGTATATAAAACAATTAAAACTGGGGGTTACATTTCCAACTTGAGTCCAGGAGATGTGAAGGGGTCATAATAATTCGCAGGAAAGGAGAGACAAAGGCAGCATAAACGTTAAGTAAGTAATAATTGTACTGGAAATTGAGCCAAAACTTGAGAAATAAACAGTTAGTTTAACTAAAACCTACTTATAAGAGAGAACTTACCTCAAAAGCAGACAAAAAAATTGCATTCCTTCTAAAACAAGCAGTAATCTCCACAAAAAGTCCCCCCTTGTACTTACCCAGCTTCCATGATGGGCAGCCCAAACATATCTCCAAAAAGTAGGCAAATCTTAATTACGAGAAGCACAAACAACACAACAATCAACATCAAATGCAAATGACAAATGCAAAACAATAATATGAGGTACCCAACAAAGTTAAGTCAGGTCCTCTGGACGGTTTCATGTTGTTGAAATGTTTCGTCTTTCATCCAAAAGACTTCATCAGTAGTTCACAACCAGTTTGCTGGTGCTCAGGTGGTTTCTGTCCTCTCATTTAAGTCGGCGGAGCCTCATGCTCGGACTGAAGAAGTCTTTTGGATGGAAGATGAAATGTTTCAACAAAAAGAAACCATCCAGAGGACCTGACTTAACTTTGTTTGGATATTTCTACCTGGATTATTGCACATGAGCGTTGATGTTTTGAACCACTTTGGCCATGACTGCTTCAAACAAGTTGGCGGGCGAGAAGGCGGACTACAGAAACCATCTGAGCACCATCAAACTTGTTGATCCACCATGAGAAGGTGCTATTTATAAGACTGAGTTTGTTGTGGTTCCTTGAATTGATCGTCTTTAGGATGAAAGACGAAACGTTTAAACAAAAAGAAACCGTCCAGAGGACCTGAATTGACTTTGTTGGATTTTTCTACCTGGATTATTGAGCATGAATCAGGATAGGGTATTAACCTTCCTGGATTTAGTCATTTGGACTTAGTCATGGAAGGAGATCCCTTGGCGAGGAGAGTTCATACATATCCCCATTCCCCCACACAGTTTGAGTCCCCCTTCTAAGTTGTGTTTCTCTTCTTTCACCCACTCTCCTTACCTCAGCACTGTTTCCTCTCTTCTCACTGTTCTCCCTCCATCATCTTTAGTTTTCCTTACCTCTATCCCCAATACCCGCTAAAGTCATTAGTCAATGTGGAATTTTGTTCTAGAGGGATCTCCCCACTTGATATTTTAGTGGTTTGTTTTCTGACTCAGTGTTGAGACGGGGAGGAAGAGACGGAGAAAAAGCTTATCTGCCTTCTACTAAGGCGACGGTTATGTAAACTTTAATGACCTACCACAGGGTCTCCTCAGTCAAAAGCCCATTACAGATGTGCCCACACACTTTCATTGTGTCTGCACAACAGGAACGCACACATCACTTGCTAACGGTAACTGTGAGCAATGATAAGTGAAGAGTAATCAATAAGCCCCGAGTAAACGTTGTTTCATAAAGGTCCGCCCTCATCAGATCTGTCTTATTGTTGATTTTGTACGAACCAAACTTGAACAATAAAAAAGAAAATCAGTAAAATGTTATTTTCCCCAGATTTATTCTTTAACTTTGGTTTATTTCCCTCTGGAAAAGTTCATGACTAAATATGTCCGTGAAAGAATTGCACCGCAGTAATTATTTCTCCCAGACATGTGACCCCCCCCCCCCCCCCACACACACACACACACACACACACACACACGAACAGCCCAAGTCTTTGGAAGGCACAAAACCAATCAGTGCTTTTGCCACAGCGATGACAGCCTTTACTGCTGCTGCCATCAAAAGTCAAAATGGCTGCTCAATTTCCAAAATTGACTCCAATAAACACCTTCCAGAAAGTTCCACAAAATCTAAGGAGTTGCAGACGGACTGGGGGAGACTCCGTCCAGTTCTTTCCTAATATAACGTGGAGTTGAAATGATCTAACGTGTGTCTGAGGAGGATCACAGACAATTCAAAAGCCTATTAGTGCAAATGGGATGACCAGAGTTCATAAATACATGCCTTTATTTACTGTAATAACCCTCGTTTGTGTTTTTTATGCTAGTACTTTTAATTAATGGCATTAACGTTTTAAGAAATCATTCCATTGACAGTTTGTGGTTAAAGGCATAGGATGTGTTATGCTTTTATTGCAATTATAAATCAACCAAAGTACACTGGCTTTATTTACAAAAACAAAAAGAAAAATTTAAACTTCTTCATTGATGAGACATTTCATAAAGTAATACACATTAAATAAAAACATATCATGTAAAATAAGTGGCTGTATAAATATTCATCCCTTTAAATAAACCACAATGATTCAGCTAAAGAAAAGACAAATGAAAAGATACAAAAATATTTCTAAGGCTCTAAACATCTCCAAGACTTCTATCAAATTCATCATCTAGAAATGGAACACGTGTAAATCTACCAAGAGCAGACTGTTGTAACAAACGGAGTGACTGTGCAGGAAGGAAAATGATGAGAGGGACCACCAAGACACCTGTGAGCTCTCAAGTTCTTCATCTGTCTACGCTTTGTGGGAGAGTATTAAACAAGTTCTGCCTATGATTTTATAAAAACATTAAGACACCTGAACACACCTGAGTCACATGGTTAATGACTTCAAACCCCAGTGCCGTGTGTCATTAGAAAAATATAAAATTGCATAAAACTTCTTGAGCTGTTGCTCTGTAACTGATTTTTTTCATTCATTCAAACTTTATTTAGACAGGTAAATGCCATTGAGCCTCGAGGACTCATTTACAAGAGAGACCTGATTTACCAGATTAAAGTTTACAAAGACGACAGGTCCAACAGCTCTAAGATCAATCAGAAGAAAAACAACCTAAAGAGAAACTCACCTTGAAGCAGTCTGCTTATCTACTTTAATTATAAAGCCTCAACATAATCAAACATTTTTTATTAAAAATGAAAAAGCCAAAACAAACCAACAATTGTATCTTTATCTGTACTCAGCCATCAATCAGTAAATGCTGACTTTTTATTTTTTGCTTCAAGACTTGATAAAAACTCTGTTAAAACTCACTTTAGTTCTGATCAACAACTCCTCCCCCTTTCTGCACATAGAACAATAAAATTAATCCTGCACTACAATAAACACTTTAATGTTTTCACATTAAAACATTTCACACATTAGACATTTCACACGTCTGCACCTGACCTGTTTAGAACTTAATTGCTGGTATTTTTATATT